GAAACAGCAATGCTGGGAAAGCTTTGAGACTGTGAAGTGAACAAAGACTCAAAGAAGGTGGGGCATGGCATCTCCATGCCTGCTCACCTCATCACACCTTACCCTGTTCATCTGTTTCTTTTGGCTATACCCAGATGGTATCATTTATAATAAAATGTAATCCTAGATAAAGTGTTTACTTCTGCATTAAGCCATTTTAGCAAACTACCAAATCTAGCAGGGAAGATTTTCAGGTACCCACACAGTAGAAATACAGATAGTCTGGGGCTGCATTTGTAGCTGGCATCTGAAGTAGTAGCAGTCCTGTGGGACTGAGCCCTTAACCTCTAGGGTCTGTGTTAATGTCAGGTAGTCAGTGTCAAAACTGAGTGGAACTGCCAGGGATTTGGCTCACCTGCTTTGCAAGGACAGGGGCCCGAGTTTGATACCCGATACCCCAAAGAAAAAAATGAATGGAACTATGGGACTACTCGCTGGCATTGGAGAATCCAGGAATTGATGACCGCTGTTAAAACAACACAATATCTGTAATGTTATGGTTTATAGATAGATATTCCTCCAAAGCCTAATGCACTCATAGGTGGGCTTCTGAGCGTTAATTGGATCGTGGATCCATCCTCTGAGGAGTTTATAGCTAAATGTGATGTTGGCAGGTGAAATGTTTTTGGAGGAGGTGGATCACTGGGGGTGTGGGCTCCCTCCCTCCTACCTTGATCACTCTCTGCTTCCTGTCTGCCATGTAATGAGCATCTCTCCTCTGCCATGCCCCTTGACCATGCCACTGACTATGGACTGAAATCTTTACAGTGAGCCAAAATAAATCATTCTTCCTTTAATTTGTGGGTATTGGGTATTGTGTCTCAGTGACAAGAAAGTAACAAAGACATATTAGAATCAGGTTAGCAATAATCATTTTAAATGTATTCAACATTCCTACACTGCCAAATAGTAAGGAAATACATCTTTATTGGAAAGATTGACACTATAACAGCATATGGCCACCAGGTATCGCCAACACCCAACTGTCCCAGTCACCACTGTTATGACAACTCAAGATAGGTTTCGCTATTTCTATCTTCCTCCCTTGACATAGTAGTACTTAGAGGACATGGTCAGATCATGCCATTTCAGTCCACCTAGAATGGGTCCCCTGACCTCCACAGTGACCTGATGCCTGGTTACCTCTTCAACAGCATCTTCAACTTTCTTGGCTTCATTCAGTTCTTTCCTGCCAAGCTGGCTTCCTCCTTGTTTCTGGGACATGGCAGGTGGCTCCAGCAGAGTGGCTTTGCCGGCACATTCTTCTCCTAAGAGTTTGTGACCAAGTCCCTCACTGCTTTCAAGTGTTTGCTCAAATTTCACCTCTTCCATGATGATTATTCTGCCTAATGTTGGGATTCCCTTTCCTTGCTTACTTTTCCTTTTGTCCAATCATACGATAATTTAAATATGTATACTACTTGTTGTTCATTTTCTGTCTTGCTTGCTAAAATGTAAAATTCACGGAAATAGGCATCCATGCCAATTTCATTTCTGGATATAGTCTAAGTCCTGGCACACAGTGAATGCTTAACACACATTAGTTAAATGAGTGATTTCAAGAATAGAAGCTTGGCCAGGAACAATGTTGCACACCTGTAATGCCAGTTACTCCGGAGATCAAGGCTGAAGGACTTCAAGTTTAAGAGTTCAAGCCCAGTCAGAGCAACTTAGGGAGAATCTGTCTTAAAAAAGCAAAAACAAGAACAGAAATGTGCTTGGCACACTGCAGTCCACAGGTTAGATATAATTCCAGATGCACTGGAAAGGTCTGCAGAAAGATGGAAGAGATAGGCCCAGGAATGCCTGGGCTTGAATCTGGCAAAGACTCCTTTTGATCAAACCTTCTGGGACTTCTTTTCTAGCAGGTCTCATCTGCTTGGTCCTGCCTGATCCAGTTGTTGTACCAAGTTGCTAAGATAGTTTAGTGGGAATCTGTCATCTTTGGTACCCAATTCACTACCCTGGCTTCCACGATAATGATGTCAAGTCAATTTAGCAAAACCCCTTTGCCATCAGTGCCTTTTCCAAGTGATTTCCCCTCCTCTGACCTCTCTCACTCTGTCTGGAACTCACAGCTGTCTTTGCTGTACTGTGAGGTGACCTCAATCTCTCCCATTGCAGTAGTCTTGACAGCTGCAATATCCCCAGCAAAGTCTTCCTTACTGATTTAACAAGTGTCAGAATAATTGTTGTTTAACATATATGGTGCCATGACTTATATAAGATTAGATTTATCACTGGATTCCTAGACCTCTCCTCTGGGGTCCCACACGCATATTTCTGAAGCTGTTGTCTTCTGTCCTGACTGACTGGTCTGGGATCCACTGTTAAGTCCAACTCCAGAGCCAGGGCTTTTGGTTGATGGTCCACAGAAGTATGTGGAAGAGAGATTTTGATTTCTAAGGTTCTGAGTATAACGTGAGAGCAGTGATGGTGAATCATTCAGAGAAAAGTGCCCAAACTGCAACCCAAAGCCCACTTACTTACTGCAAAGTGCTAACACTACAATATGTATACGACTTATTGTTCATTTTCTGTCTTCTAAACCCTGGCTTTAGTTTAGAAAAAACAACTCATACATTCACATCTTTTGTCTTGAAAGAAAATCAAACAACACCCGTGCTATAGGTTCACTACCACTGCTCTACAGGCTAGGTTAGAGCCCCAAGAAAACAGAGGTTGAGTGAGGGTCTTGGGCTTCTCTGTCCATGGACCAGAGGCTGGGTTGGGTTCCCAGGCTTCTAACAAAGTACAAGGTGCTATTAGTTAAGAATATGGGGGAGCTGGGGATTTAGCTCAGTGGCACCATGCCTGCAAGTTTCTGAGTTTGATCCCTGGCATGAAGAAAAAAGAAAGAAGAAAGAAGAGGAAGAGGAAGGAGGAAGAGGGGGGAGGGGAGGAGGAGGAGAGGAGGAGGAGGAGGAGAAGAAGAAGAAGAGGAATTCTCAGTGGAATGAATCCCCTCTTTACCCTCACATCCTCAATGACTTTGTGCCCCACCACCTCAGCACTCACTTTGAACATCCTCTTCTTGTGCGATGGTTTTACTGCAGATAATTTCAACTCCTATGGCTTTCCAAAAAAAATTTATATAAACCAGAGAGTATTGCATTACTATATTGATCTCACTCCGGGATAAATTTTTAGATTTAAAGCTTTAAAGTCTCTATTTCTGTCTATATGTTTATATATGTTAAGTATACATGAAATTTTTCTACACCTGGAAAATACTGCCAATGTTTATGAAATCCCTTTAAGGTGTTCTATTCAAATTGACTAATAGATAATCACTTATATAAATTAAGTATTCCTAAATTCTCCAGAAATAGGAAAACCAATCCAAATATTTTTAAGTTCACATGATTTGAGGAAATTTTAATAAATAAGACCAGTTTGGACATATTGCTATAATCAAAATGAGTAAGGATTCTGACTTATCAACAATAAGCATAATGCAAAAATTATGTTTGGATTTACTGTTCAAATAAATTTATATTATAACCAAATGTTAAACCTGTAAATTTAACTAGTGAAATAAATATAGAGCCAAAGATTCAATGTATGATTTTAATTTATGAATTTAACTTATGAACAAATGCGTAAGTCAAGATGAAGTAAAAGATGAATTGCTTGATATCTATTCCTGAATACATAACAAGTACAGCAGTAAAACCAACCAAAACCCATGTATTTTACTTTTATAGGGCCTTTATGTTCTCTTCTTTTTTATGTTCTTTTATGATACTTGCCTAATATGTATAGACTGTAAAAATAGGTAACAGGGAAGTAACATGAGATGATGGCCAGCTATGTTTTGTGTCATAATATGTCTGCTAAAAAGTTTTTTAAATCTTTTGGTGTCTTTAGAATTATGTTAGGTAACAAGTATTCATTAGTAATTTCTAAGTAAGATAAACTACTGACATTAATTATTAAGCACAAGTTTAAGTTTATACAATTTTGGCTAATTTTATGTGCTATAGAGAGGCAAAATATATCTGAGTCTGTTAATAAACATAAAAAATTGCACTACAAAGTAGCTTATAGAAATTTTGATATAGTACCTTCATAAAAATTTCTAGTCTGCTACAGAATACTGATATATAACCGTTCACAATTGTGTTCGTCCTCATATTCTCAGTTTAAAAAGTTGCCAATCATTAAAAACTATTCTCAATATATATGTAAATGAAACTACTAAATAAGGGTAAAACACTTTATATAAAAATATGCAAGGCATGAAATTACTAGGAACCATTTTACTTTTATTCTAGAGTTAAATGACTTAATAGTTCCTTAATGAGAGAGAGGAAAGTATAGAATAAAACCTGAATAGATATTTTTTTTAAATTGGAGAAGTCTTGTGGAAAATATTACAAAAGAAATCCTGTATCATGTAGTCAAAGGTGGCTAAAATGAGATGGATTTATTTACAAAATAAATTATTGGAGTTTCCTTGGATTAGTGGACTGCTTTTTAAAAATAAATTGTATTTAAAGTAAACTGTCAAAAATTTTCCTCCCAGATAATCTGTCTAGGAAACCAAAAATTCTTTATCAGAATAATTTCCTCTTAATATTTTTCATGTCCTTGACTATTGACTATTTTAGAGACCCAAGCTTTTAAAAGAGCTAAATTTTTTTACAATTATGTCACCTACTTTTGAATTCTTTTATTGTCATTTTGGTTAAAAAGGTACCTACTGTTTCATAGAAACCTAGGATCCAATCCAGTCAGATGTTCAAACCTTTTGATATTTTGACAACTTTCCCTTCTAAAAATCTAATCATAAAAATCTTGATCTCAAACTGACCTCGTTCCCAGAAGCTATTTGGAAAATCCCAAAGAATTTGGGATTTCACTTTGTAAAATGAGCGATATTTTAAAATAATTATGTTTACTTGATATGCTGAGTAGAACACATTGTAAATTTTAAAACATCCTTGGCTTTTAAATTATATTCATATCACTAATAATATTATATAAAATTTCAGAAATTCTGTGACATTCCTAGGGAATATGTCAGGACCTTCACCTTTGCTATTTGTGACACCTCGCTGTATAACTTAATGATCGTAATTCTCGCTATTACTTTAAAATGCCGTATGCTACAAAAACAGCCAAATCTTCCAGTCAAATAAACTCTTGTCTGCTCTTTAACTTTAGTCATGTTGGTCCTGTCATCCAAATGCAGTTTTTGTCGCACTCTCTGACGCTTCTTTGAAGACACCTGCCATCCCTGCAGCCTAAGTGCTTCTCCTCATCCAATGGGATGACCTTAATGGTTCCCTTTTCGGGTTTTCCCCACATCCCCATGCTCCACTCCGGGAAATGCCCATGACTACAACACTGACACCCACGCCATCTCCCAAAACATTTGAACCTGCAGATCACCACCACCCAGCGTATGGAAGTCTTCTCAACTAGCAGCCCTCCAGACTAAAAAACTGCTCTGTTGCAATCATTAACTGGTCTGTTGCAATGGTTAATCTTTGGTTTTCTTTTTATTTTCATAAAAATCCACCCTCATTAAGTATCTGTCTTCTCAAACCATCCAGCAAAATCCTCCAGTAACCAAAGAAAAAGATGATAGAATGAGATATGGACTTACATTGTTCAGAGAAAAGACTTTTTCTTCCTTGAATGAGTCAAGGGGACTAAAAAAGACTCTCTCCTTAATGAAACTGGAGTCTTCTCTTAGGCACTGCCACCACTGCCAATAAATCCCAAATGTGTCACATTCCTAAACATGTAGTAACTAGAACTGCTGCTTTCTCCTTAGGCTGCTCAGGGAGGTTTCCCCAGTCTGGTCTGAATCTGGAATCCCTCTTGGTGCCATCACATACTGCTGCCCTAACATCTTCCTGCCAGCAACAGACAGGACACAATTCTCAAAGCAGCCCTCACCAAGCAGATCCTTTATACTGCAACTTTTGGCTTAACATCTCAGATGGGTGCCTTCAGTAACACATTTGCTTTCATGTAACATATACATAATATTTTATATGGCTTACTAAATAATTTAACTCCTTTTCTCCTAAAGATGTACATAAATCCAGTGCTTGGGAAGGGCTTTCTTGTGTGTCAATGCTCTGATTCTCTGGAAACCACCACCACACACCTGTGAACTCAAATACCAACACTTCAGAACGCAAGAAGCCCAGATTGGACCCTTTTAAGCTATAAAAATAACCTTTCCTAGAAACAAGGAGTCTAGGCAATCAAATTCTATATATTTATAATTAGACGAGTTTTACAAGTCTTGGTGAGAGGGTTTGAAAAACTTTAAATTTAATGCTTTCACTGTCACATATTTTTCCTACATGCTCATAAATATTTCTATAGTCACTTAATGATATTTTAGCTTCAAGTAAACTGTTAATTTTAAAGTATTCAAAGCCTATATAATGCAAATCTCTGCCCAAAAAAGGCAAAGTTAATTCATACTTCTTTCTAGTTATAAGTAGAATTTGTCAACAAGGGACTGCAAAGATAACATAATCTGTTGGTTTTATAACATCTGTTAGGTGATTCAAATCAATTCTATCAACAATTTATAGCACTAGATCTATGATTCTGTATGATTACTGCTTTCAATTAAATGTATAAGTGAAATTACTTATAACAGATTAGTGAACCATTAAGTTAAATGAAAATATGTTCATTTTCAGTTATTTGAAAAATCATATGCTTTCAAAACTGAGGAGGGAGCATTAATGTGGAAGTATTTTAGAGGGTTAAAAGTATCTTCAGAAATACTGCAATATCTTGCATCAGTAGAGGTAGTTAAGCATATTTCTCAGATGTTTAAACAATTTGGTATCAATAATAGTAATACAATTAATCCAAGTGAAGTCTTATAGTACTACAAAATACAGAAAAAATTATCTCTCAATTTTTCAATAAAACTCAAACTCATAGTTTCAATACCCTTGTGTAACCACATATTTAAAAAATAGTCATAAAATTAATCCTGATATGCTATGAAGCAAGTTCTTCTGCAAAAGTAATACAAGTTCCTCTTGAGAAAAAATACCCAAAAAGTAAGGAAAAAATAGTGTCTTTCTTCATGTTACATGTTTGGAAAGGCAAAATTGAAAGGTCTTTATATCTGTTGATATCATTAGGTTATAAAATAGGATATTTTCTCTGGCCCTATGGCACTAAAAGTTTCACTTTTGAACTTATTACTTGACTACATCAATCAAAATTAATAAAAAAATTATGTTATGTTTTTAAGGAAAAGGAGCACATAGAAATTTAACCAGTAACAAACATACATTTTCTGCACTAATTCTCACACTTGCAAATTAAGCATATGTTCTTATAAAGTGACTGCATTTGAGAGTGCAGTATTATCAATCACTTTAAAAAGGAAAAGTAATTCTCTATCACTCTCTCTCTCCCTCCTTCCCTCCTTCCCCACCTTTTGACTCCAGTTATTCAATACAATTCCAAATGCTCCACAGTTGTCTATTTTTATATTTTCATAGTAATCTTATGGTGGTGAGAAGCACTAATATATACATTTTAAGAATGAGAAATGGAATATTGTTATGAAGAATATAGTCACCTCTGCATCATAATAACCCCATCAGGAAACAGAAAACCCAAAACTAACTGGATAAACATGAAGAAATTATCTTCAGCTCTTTGATTGAAATATTATATACTAATTCTTTGACAACTTAAGTATCTATACATATAGTTAATTCCTTTTCTCCTCTAGAGATTATTCACTTGTTTCTGCCAAGCTACATTTGATTTTGTAAACCTTGACAAAATCTCATTGAGAATGTTACTGAAAACACTAACTCATTTACCTATTCTCCTTGGTCTGCATCGTCACCTCTTCCAGGATATTAGTTCTTGAAAACCATGAAAATATTTTTCTTCCTTCTATTTCAGTCCTTTGTTTGTGTTTTCTTTAGGCATGCACTCCAAGTTCAGTTCTTCCTGGAGGATAAAAGGCTGTTTTCTCCCTCAGCATCCATTTATCATCTGATGTCAAAGAACATTGTTGTGTTTTGTGTCTGTGTACTTTAAAGTATGGCACTCTGTTCTGATAATGGTTTCCTTCTGATTCAGCAACCTACAGAAGTTCTTAAGGTAAAACACTATTGATTGGCTAAAGTTTTTGGCTTCTCCCCAAAGCAAAATTAACTTATTTTCATCTGAGAATCTTCTGTATTTCTTTATGAAGGTGCAGGCGGAAGATGTTGTAGAGGTCCACAGATTTGGTGTTTCTCTCCCTCATCTCAGCAGACATCAAATACTCGTAGATGAGAGCCTTTCTTCTAGCTTTGGTGACACAGACATCCTGCCCCTATTTCCTGGATCCTGAAAGAAAAATCAAGGAAAGGTAAAGAAAGGAATTAAGAAGAAACACTCAAAGTTGATGCACTGAAAATGTAATTCCACGTCGAAAACATCCATGGTTCCCAGCTCCAGAGACTTTCTAATTATAAAGTGCCAGTGGCCCTACAACCCCTCCCATTAGCATCCACTTGTCCCTCCCTTCCCAACAAGTCGTGTCACCAACAGACACGCGAGCAGAACTACATGTGGCCATCTCTAGCCATCAAAAGCCTATCTGCTCATCAGCTTAGCTCATGTCCTCCCTGTCTCCAGCTTCTAAATGGAAATATGTGCTTCCTGCACATACAGTGTGTCTTTTTCAGAAGCAACATCTTTAAAACCCAAACCTATAAATTTACACATACAATAATTCATGTTAGAAAGACAATCAGCTAACTTAGAGAAGGACTGTAAATGAGTCTACCAGAAATGTGCCTAGGCACATTCTTAACAGCCAAATGGTCTGCAACACCTTAACATTTTAAAAAGTAAATAGAAGAGGGTAATGACTAACTTTTGCAAGAATAATAATCTGGAGGGATACATGAACTTAGATTTCTGTCCATCCATGCAAATGTCATGGTTGTAAAATACTTGGTCATTTTCGATGATATCTTAGACATGATCACATGTAATGTAGTCAGAATAACAGCAATAGAATTGCAAGTGTGTCAAAGAAATTTGGACAAAGGAAAATAACTGTCTAAACTCACTTAAGAAGTAAGAGACTAAAACTGAAACAAATCAGCTCCCAGTTTCTTCCGACTGAACCCAGGCCCTTATGCATGCTAGGCAAGCACTCTCCCACCTAGTTACATCCCAAAGACCTCAACAATTTTTCCTTGTGAACAAAAATAACATAGAGATGATAATCTAAGATATAGAGATAGCATTATATATTCTAGGATATTCATTAAAATCCAGGAAATGAACTCAAAATTCAGCATAAACCTTTTCCTGAGAACCTTCCCCAGCAACTCAGAATATGGAAAATTTTATTAGACATTTTGATTGAGATTAATGAAAATGAATCAGTCCAAAATCCTATTATTTTTTCTATAAAGTCTAACATGACATTTTGATTATCAATTATTTAAAACTAGACAAATTCTATATTTAAATTTAAAGTTTAGGAATTTAAAGAATGGCATTACCAAGAGGATAGAAGCCTCTATGATAATAGATTTTTTTTTTGGACTCCTCCATTTGAAATGTTTAAGATTAAGAGAGGTCAAGTATTATGAAGTAGAAGATAAGGATCAATTTCCTGATCTATGAAACAAGGAGACTGGTATGAACAAATATCCAAAGTTAATAACTGTAACATTCTGTGATATAGACAAGTATATTTATTTTAATATCCATCAATAATTCTGAGAATAAGTCAAAAAAGTGGGTCTGTGTGTACATGTACTGAGAATAGAATCTAGGGCCTTTTGCATGCCAAGCATGTACTCTACCACTGACCTACACTGCAGTCCCAAATATTTCTTTTAAATAAAAATTTTTTGTTAATTAAAATTTAATTTTAAATAAAACCATAAAATATGAATGGACTGCAAAATAGATGCAGGTTCTGTATGAATCTTTTTGATAGGAGATGAGATTAGAGGGAAATCCAGAACAGTTATACTTGAAGCAAGACCTTCCAGGCTCTGCCCTCATACTGCATAGACCATCTTCTCACTATGCTCTGCACCATCAGAGTGAGACCCGAAAAGTGCTGATCTCCCTCGTATACCACATGTCCACACTCATCAACCTCATGAATCTCTAACTCTAGTTTGTCAATAACTCCTAAAATAAACATTCTGTAATCTGAATAAGTACTGTTATGTTACCAAGCATGTTTGATAAGATTACTAAAAAGCATAGAGCCTTGTAGCAAACAATTATACCTTTCCTCTTGATAGACAATGATATATTCATTATTCAACACAATCTTTGAATAGTGTTTCCCAAATAACTCCAAACCCTTATAAATATAGTGTTATCAATCACATTTATTTCTGTCATTTTTAAAGGTACATGATGACTTTGTACAATGTATTACTAAAGCCACAGTGGAATTTTCCTCCTTATTTACACCCATCTGCTAGGCAAATAACCTTCTTTGACAATAATGAAAAGTTTCTTAACATGACATGATTTACCTTAATGAATCCATCCTGGGTTACTGTGGCCTTGTCTAAGACCTCCTGAATTCAGTCTCTCTCACATGACCCAAATGCTAATTTTAATGCTACTTCTAATATTAGCATCTAACCTACAATTTAGAATTCTTAAAACTACTACTCCTTTTTTGGATACTACAACATGTGTGCATGTCCATCTCCCCAGGACCTGCCTTGGTCTCCATCATTTTCAGAAATTACCCACTGTAGCCAGGCGTGGTAGCGCACGCCTATAATCCCAGCACTTGGGAGGCTGAGGCAGGAGGATCACTGTGAGTTCGAGATCAGCCTGGGCTACATAGTGAGTTCCAGGTCATTCTCAACTACATAGTGAGACCCTGTCTCAAAAAAAACAAAAAGAAAAAAAGAAATTACCCCCTATGGTTGAATAATTACATAGGCAATAACATACTGCAGTGAATGAATGACAGAATTTATCATGTTGCCTACAACATTACTTTCCCAAACAATAGTTGCTGATAAATCACCCTTGTAATTTTTTTTTCATATCTGAGGTACAACATACTGCTTTGGGGGTCTCTGGTCCATTTTTCCTCAACTTGTTCTATTCTTTACCTAATTTTTCAGTTCAGAAGATTAAATTCAGGGTCTCGGCACTAAGCTATATCCCCCAACTTTTTTTTTTCAAGTTTGAAACAAGATCTTACTAGGTCACCAAGTTGCCCTAGCTTACAGGTGTGCACTACCATTCCTGGATCTTCTTAGCATTTTCTTTGAAATGACTCTGCTATGGTTTGAATATGGTTTGTTCCTTCTGAAACTCATGTTGGAGCTTAATTATCATTGTGAGATAAAAAAATAAAAGGATAGACGCTTCACCTAACTATGTGTTCAGCAGTAGGGCCTTTGGGAGGTAATGAGGATTAGGTAAAGTCCTCATGATTACACACTGGCAGATTTGATGGAAGAGGGGGACAGACCAGAGAAGATTCATGTATGCACCCTATCTCTTGCCACACTGTACCCTGGAGAGAGCCTCAGGACTCTGCTGGCAGAAAGGCAACTCGGCCAGAAGAAAGGCCATCGGCAGATATGGCTCCTTCACCTTGCACCAAAACTGTGAACCTAAATAGACCTCTTCTTTATGACTGCCCCAGTCTGAGGTATTCTGTTATTAGTCATAGAGAAAGGACTCCAACACTCTGCTAAAATAAATGTACTATGAAAATAAATTTTCCATACCTACCATAAATAGAAGCCTAGTAACCAAATGCTACAAATAGAGAATAACTCTAAAAATAACAAAAATGAACGCAAAATTACTCAAGTTCTGATTGGAGGCAAATACCCACCAAAACCAGGGTCCTGGATTTATTCTTTATTAAAATGGGGACCTAAAAATTTATGAAAAAATGTATAGCTTTCAGTGGTTTTGCTTAATAAGAAGAAAGTTGAAGACTATCAATTTCAAGTATTTAGAAAAAAGGTCATGTGGATACACTCACAGAAAGAAACAAAGATTAGAGAATAATTAATGATATGAAAAACAAAGATACAATGGAAAACACCAGAAAAAAAAGTTCTTTAAAAAGACAAAATTGGCAGACTTCTAAAGACTGATCATGATAAAGCACAAAAAGCAACAAAAAATGTTGGGAATTAAACATAGGATGCATCATAAATTTAAAAAATTATTGTAAACAACTGCGAGGTGATTTGAACATTTTGGAGATGGACAAAATCCATTTTGGTATAAAGTACCAAAATTCATTACAGGTCAGTTCTATTAAAATTTTTCAATAACTGATATTTATAACCTCCTAACCGAGGACAGAAATAAGATTAGCTGTTTTTCCTAGTGAGTTTTAACAATTATTTAATGACCAAATAACGCTAATATCATACAAATTCAATGAGACTATAAAAACAGACAATAGGCCTAGATAATTTCATGAAATTAATAATCTATCTAAATCAAATTGAGACAGCATAAGAAAGGATAATTGCTGACTAAACTGAGAAACACTGATGCAAAAATTCAAACTATAAATTAGCAAGATGAATCCAGAAATGCATAATAAATGTCTTATTCTAAATTGTATTTATCAAGGGAGAAAATTCCATATCAGCTTATGACCAAAAGAAACTATTAGTAAATAAGCAGATGGGAACTTCCTTTATGGGCAAATTAAAGGTCAAATGTCATAGTTCAAAGCAATAAGAATACTTTGATTCTTTCATTTTTAGTCAACATTTTATGAGGAGGGTGTCAATACAACATTTAAGAAGAAAAAAAAGAAGGAGGAAAAGAGAAGAAAGAAGAAAAACCATACAATTCACAGAATATTTTTATAAATTCCAACAAACACAATTAATAGAGTACTTATAATAATTAAGTATATTATAAGTTCAACTGCATTTCTACATACCAGAAAGAATTTTTTTTCAAGAGGCATTTATTTAAACCTACCCATTTATAGAAGCAATAAAACATGGTTCCTTGGAATAACTACAAGGAGCAATTATATAAAAATTTGAAGAAAAAAAATCTATAAACTTTCACAAAAGACATTAAGGAGGTCCTTTATAAAAAGGAGCTATATACATGACAAAGAAGAAAGTTTTATATCACTGAAATGTCAGCTCTCCTCAATTGATCTTTTAATTCACAGCAAGTGGAAACAAAATCCCAACATTTTAAAATAGAACTTGACCAGCCTGTTGTAAAAGTTTTGTGGAAGAATAAAAGGACAAGAACAATTGAAGATATTCCTTCAAAAGAGTAAGGAGGAAGACTTGTGTTACTGGATATCAAGCCTTCACATAAAGCTGAAATAATCAAGTTAG